TGAAGTTTGTAGATCAGGAGTCAGTGAACTCTTTCTGCCAAGTACCAGAACTTTAGAATTTTGATAGTTAGAAGTTTCTGCTAATCATTCAATTCCATCTATATAACATGAAAGTAGTCATAAAAAACACATGAATGCATTGATGCTACTATCTTCACATAAAAATGGTATTCATAGATACAGGCAGCAGATTTCATTTTGCTTCAAGAATATAATTTGTTGATTCTTATTCTATATAAAGGAATGATATATATATATATATATATGTCTAATATATATATTTATATATACCTGTATCTCTCTCTATATATATATATGTATATATTTCAAGGGCATTGAAGTTTACCAGCCTATAACAAAATACACAAAATAAATAACTTATAAAGAAGGAAGGAAGATTTATTTTGGCTTGTGATTTTAGAGTCTTTAGTTCTTAAACATGTAGGTCTGTTTCTTTGGATCAGTGGCAAATCAGAGAATCACATCTGGGGGTGTGTAGTGAGGCAAAGCTGCTCATCCCGTGACCACTGGGAACAAAGTAAGATAGGAAAGTGCCAAGGTCCCTATGTCATCTTCAAAGACATTCCCCAGTGACATAACTGCCTTCCAGTAGTGGCAAAACCTGGTGACCCAAGCCTTAAAACTGCTTTTGGAGAACATTCAAAGTCTGGAAGAAAACACCAAGCTGGACATACAGAGAAAGAAACGGTGGCTTTGGGTGATGATCAGCTAGCCCATTGCTTTTGGGTGTGTGATAATGCAACTCACTCTGGTGGAGAGTGTAGTATGCCAGGGTAAGAGCAAGAGGGGGAATATCAACAGCATGCCAGTGCTTGTTTGAGGTAAATAAGCTATCACATGCAATAGGTGCTGTGCCTGCTGCTTCATACTTCGTGGCTCACCTCACGGTCAATGCACACTCCCATTGACCTGATGCCCTCCCATGAGGCTCCATGTAAAAGGTTCCACTTCCTAACAGCCCCATGCTGAGAACCATGCCTTTCATAAAGATCCAAACATAGAAGGTGTGGTAATAAACATGCAATAGTAAGCACAGGAGCATAAAGTGGCAGGTACAAGTTAGGAGACAGTCAGGACAGCTTGGCAGGAAAGCTGAGTGGTTATCTGTTAAGTGACCAGTGCAAGAAGAGACAGCCTATGTTTCTAGGGAACTATAGTTGGTTTGGATTGACCAAGCCATCAGGTGTAGCTGCCATGCTATCATAACAACTGGAACTGATAAAGTCAAAGGATCATTAAAGTTTTAAGCCAATTACTCCTCTCCTTCATGATCCTCTTAAAACATTCCAGAAAAATTTGTGAAAATGGGATATGTACTTCAATAGCACTCCTGAGTATCAAATAGTCACTAAATCAAATACCTTTATATAAAACAGCGAAGTCGCACATACTAGCTCATTTATTTCAAAAATCATCAATGTAATACTTTTAACTGTTTTTTTTTCTTTTTCTGTCACCCTCTATATTGCTCTATACCCTGGTTTGCCTTAAGAGATTCAGATATACATGGTCATTTGTCCTAGAAAGTCAGATTTTTGGAACCCAAGTTTATACTTTGAGACCTCTCTTTTACTAAAATCAAATAAACAAACAAAACTATAAACTCAAATATACTAGGTTAGACCTTGGAACAACATGTGTGAGTAAAGACCATAGAAGCTTAAGTCATTAACTTTCTCTGCTTCTGTCTAGTAAATGTCATTCACATGTTTTTACACTCATTGACCTCTACATAAAATTACCCATAAAGATTCCTCTCTGACTTGGAGCTTAAGTTTGGAACGTAGAATGTCTTAGATTTTAAAAAAAATTACTGTAATATATATATATATATATATATATCATATATATATATATATATATATATATATATATATATATATATATATATATGAGTCTTTTGTCTGTCTATATGTTTTTCTATCACATCTGTTTCTGATGCCTGTTAAGACAATGAACGGGTGTCAGATCCCCAGGGACTAAAGTACTGGATGGTTGTGAACCACCATATGGGTGCTGGAAATCAAACACAGGTCCTCTTCAAGAGCAGTTTGTGTTCTTAATAGCTATGCCATCTCCCCACCTTGATGTCTTAGATTTTAAAATCCAGATACCCAATACTTCCATCCCTTGATTATACCAGAATCATACTGTGGCTGACTCCTGTGGATGTTACTTTGCAAATAACTGCCTGTTCCCACTCCCCGCCCTCGGTCCTTCTTGACAGTTTACAACATTTTGAGCCTCTTTACTCATGCTCAGTCTTGTTGCTCTTGATCAAGTTTTTATATTGTAGTCTCCATAATTCTTCTAAAATGCAAATAGAATGAGTTTACTCTCTTCTTCAAATCTCTGAGGAATTTTTCATGGTTCCATGAAAATATTTAAGGCTGTACTGAGGCTTCCATGGTTGGTCTTTGTCCGACACTTGTTCTTTCCCATCTTTACAGACTCGAAAGAATGATCTTTTAAGTCTCTCAATACAATGCCATTTTTTGCTTAAAATTTATTCATTATTTCTACATTCCCATAAGAAAAGAAGTCACTGAAATGTATTTGCACAATGTACAAGAACTTCCACCAACCATGCTTACTGACTTCTTCAGGCTCATAGCTCTCCAAGCCTCCAAACACTTCACATTCTCTCAGGTTTCCTTGACTTGCAAAGCTATTTATGCTTTCTGCACACCTTCTCCCTCTTGTCCACCTGGTTCATTACACTGAGTTCTCTAAATCTTGCTCTGTTAAACATTCCCTATTCCCTGAGTTATTTGAAGTAAACCAGGATGTGCTTTTCTCCTACATATTGGCTAGGTCTTCAATACACAATCAGTTGTTTAGATTCACTTATTGTAAATTCTTTCTCTTTTTATAATCCAGCTGCCTAGGCAGACATAACTTTTAACTTTTTTTTCTAAAGACCATATCATGTAGGTAACAAAATATATATTTCTTGAAAGAATGAAGGGATGAGTGAATTTAAAAATAAAGAAAGTATGCATAAATCAATAACTCATAGCACTTCAAACAATAGGGTATCTTCATTTTTCATATTAAAATAGTTAAAAGATTCAAGTCCTCATGTTCCCTGCAGCATTATTTATAACAATGAAGATACAGCATCCACCTAAGCACCTACCAATGGGCAAATGGACAAAGAGCATGTGTGGTTTTGTTTAAACACACAGGAATAGAGGAATATCATTTAGCCTTAAAAAGAGATCCTTTCATTTTTAATAGTACAAGCAAATCTGGAAGACATTGTGCTAGGAAAAATGAGCCAAGCAGAGAAAGACAAATATGCATAATCTTATAAGTATACAGAATCTACAAAAGCTGAAACCACAGACAGAATTTACAGTGGTTACCAGAGGCTGGTGGTGAAGATGGGATGCTATTGATCAAAGAACAAAATGATTTGGTGACCCCAAATCCTGATGATAAGCATAGTGATGATAGTTAGCAATGCCTTAAATTTGCTGAGGAATTTCCAATAAATGAGGGGGAAAATGTGTTAATGTCTTAGTTAGGATTTTTATTGCTGTGAAGAGGCACAATGGCCTTGGCAACTCTTATAAAGTAAAACATTTAATTGGGGTGACACATTTACAGTTCAGAGGTTCAGTCCATTTATCATCATGGCAGAGAATATGGCGGCATGCAGGAAGACATGGCACTGGAGCTGAGAATCCTTAGATCTTGATAGGCAGGAATCAGGAAGTCAACTGACAGATTGGATGATATCCTGAGCATAGGGATTCACAAACCCTCCCCACACAGTGACACACTTCCTCCAACAAGGCCATACCCACTCCAACAAAGCCACACCTCCTAATAGTGCCACTTCCTATGAGGTTATAAGATTATGAAGGCAAATTACATTCAAACTACCACAGTGAAGTATTAGATATGTCTATAGGTTGATGGTGGTAATTATTTCACTAATATAGATCTATCAAAATATTATCTATCTTAAACAGAATTTTAAACTTGTTAATTATACTTCAAAAATACTGGAAAAAAGGAAAAAGTTGCCTCACCTCCACCTGTTTTTCAGTGCTGAGGACTGATAGACCTTAGTGTAGGTTAAGGTGGACATTCTTCCAATAATCTACACCTCCAATCATCCTTGCCATTTGAGTGTGCATATCAAATATCACACAATTTATATGTGCTTTATGCTTCAAAGTAACCCACAGTCTTCCATAATGTGTTCCAGAAAGAGCTAGAAGCAATTGTCATTTGAGGGTTGATGTCCTATTTAGCAAAATCTCTTCTTTAGGTTAGTTATAGTCCAACAATTAACAATAGGAAAACATTTCACCATTCATTTTCTGGTGCTTACTTTCTTTTACTCTAACATTGGAAAAGAATGGGAGTGTCCAAATTAAATTGGCCCAACTAGCTGAGGGGTGGGCAGACTTCTTTCTGGGTTATCCTGATCTCTCACTTAGAGCTATATTGTTCGATTTATTAAAACAAAACAAAACGAGGCTGGCTGTTGGACTCTGGACAGCTCTATGTCCTAATTCCTTCTTGACAGCTCACAACATCTATTTTAAATTTAATTTTCTAGAATATATGTGTGAGTGGGGAGGGGATGTCTGTTTATGGCCAGGGGAAGACAGTAGACCCCTTACTCTGTCATTGTCCACCTTGTTCCTTTGATGCAGGGCTCCTCACTGAAGAGGAAGCTCACCATGTCAGTTAGACTGGGTGAGGAGGGAGCTCCTGGGATCCACCTGGCTCTGCCCTGTCAGACAAGGGCTTCAGAAATGTGGCACGGGGCCCTGTTTATTATATGGGTGCTGGGGATTCAACTCCGACTCTCATGTCTGCACAGCATCGCTCTCATCTACTGAGACATCTTCCTCCTCTCCACTTCGATTTTAGTGTGAATTTGAATTTATTATTTACTACAGAATCCTATCTTAAAGGAAATCTTTCCTAATGTGAACTCCTTTTTTTTTTTTTCACAGCCTTTGGTGATTCCTTAGCCTTGGTGTGGCTGCTAGAAACAGGAGGTGAGACTCAACTCCTATGTCTTAGCAGAGTTACAGCGTCCCAGGATGAGCCAGTAAGAAGAAGGGAAGATAAAAATCATCACTCCAAAGGTGGGGTCCCCTCACAGTCATCTAGTCCCTCCAGAGGCTTGTTGAGTATTCAGGTTACTGGACCAACTGAGGAAGAATCTCAGTGGACTAACCAGTCTACCAGTTTCTTAAGTGAATGGAACCATGAGAACGTGTGTATCATGATATATTTTTAAGTGTAATATTGAGAGGATTTTAATTCAACACAACTTATGGTTAAGCAGAATTCACTAAACAACAACTATGCTGAAGGTGCTTCTAAAACTGCATGTTAACCCATTCCATATCTTGAAGGAAAAACAGGATCTCAACATTGCCAATGCTCAATCATGTTTCAGAATATACCCTGCTTATCACAGCAGCTCAGAAAACAGACACTGAATTAAATCCTATTTTGATCCAATAACTTCAAAAAAGCTGGAAAGCCAAGCAAAGCATTTGTGATTTGCACGTTAGACTTTTTTTTTCCAGCCCCGAAGGCAATCTCTATAATCAATTAGTGTTGTCTAAGAACATAGAAATTCCATCAGGCTCTAGCCTTAAGATTAATTGTGCATGTGGCTTGGCCAGTTTTTACAGCATTATAGTGCCTCAAGATTTTCATCTCTCAAATGGGAAGTACACTTTCAGAAATGTCTATTTCAGTGCTTGGTTATGAACATAAGAAGATACAGTGTGGAAAAACATGAAAAAGCATTAGCTTTTCTTCACATGCATTTTATAAAAGAATTTATACCAATCATTTGTTGGTTTGTTTCTTACTCAGTAAAATTTAGTCAAATGGGTGTTTATTTAAAATCTATAAACCCTCACTAAGGCCCTCAGTAATTTCCTTAGTGACTGTTCAATGCAATATTGGGCATATTTCCTGTAAAATGTATAGTCTTTCAATGTTGATATTTTAGGAATTATTTCAAGTTTTAGATTTTACTTTATTGATGTGTTACTAATTTACTTTATCATGATGATAGCAACATATATAAAGTTACCTATTTTTGAAGAGGGTTTTGTTAAGTTTATATTCCTGTGGAGTTTCATTAATGTGTGAATACAGATTTTTATGATTCCACAGTGTTTATCTTTAGATCCCCCTCTGTTTTTCACATTTTAAAGTGTGTGTGTATGTGTGTGTGTGTGTGTGTGTGTGTGTGTGTGTGTGTGTGTGTGTGTGTGTGTTGCCTGTACTTCACACATGTGTTCTTGGAGATTAGAGGGTAATTTTCAAGGGTCAGTTCTCTCTGTCTTCCCTTCCCTGACCATGTACGTCTTGGGGATTCAACTCAAGTCATTAGGCTTAGTTGCAAGCGTCTCCATCCTGTGAGCCATCTCAGAGGCCCCACAGGTGCTTCCTTACATTTTACTGTTAAGGGTGGTATTACTTGTCTTTCTCTCTTTGTCCTTAGGGTTTTTCTAGAACAAACTTGGAGAGGATCTGACACTCTGTGTTATCCCCACTGAAGATCACAGTTTTATTTGCTTGGTCCCGACATAGCCCCATCCCTCCCCACATTCTTACACCGCTTGGGTAGAAAAGAGAAGGGACGAAGGGAGCTGGTGGGAAGCAGGAAGAAGCATGGCTTCAGCTTCCAGGGAGCTCCTGTATGTTTCTCTTGTTCAAGGATTCCAGTTGTGGCCTCATCTCTCAGGATGAAGAATGGAATGGGGATAATTTTCAGGCAATACCCATCCCTTCCTCTTATGTAGGAAGCCAAGCACTGGAGGAGATGCTGTGGGAGTCTTGAACTCCATCCTCTGTAAGATCAGTGCTGACTTGAAGGACATGTGGCCAGCAGTGTATCCAGGTACCTGAGTTCCCACCCATCTGCTCTGGCTGAGAGAGAGGACTGACTACCTATGTCTCTCTGTTTTTCACTGTGGAGTGGATACGACGCTAGGGAGTTTACATATTTTTGTCACAGCTCTGTGAAATGTCTATTGTTATTTCCTCATCAGTAAACAGATCATTTAAGCTCAGAATTTAATCAACTTGCCTAAGCCAAATACCTACTAAAACAGAACTCCAATTAGCCGAAAATGAAGAACTAGACTGAAACTCAGTACTAAATGTTCCCATATCTTCTTATACAGAAAGTTCCCCAAAGGCCATGTAAGTCGATGTTTGCAATTGCACATTCACTGTTAACAGAACACATTCTGAGCTTCTTGGAGCCTCTCCTTAAACAGAGCTCCGAAGGCATCTGATCATTTGGGTGATTGGATATGTTTTCCATTTCAGGGGAGCTTGTCATCCAAATCATGCTTTTCTCTTATGCTTGGACACTCAAGTACTCACCCAGCCATTCTTACTCTAGCTATTGCATATTGCAGAGTGTATTGGTCTAATGGTGTCTCCCAGTGAATCCTCCCAACTCTACTCCATTTGCTGTAGTGTCTCAAAGGAGTTCAGTTTCAAACTTGTGTCGAGGAGACTCCTTGTTTTGTAGTCCCTGGATTCCTGTGTGCATCAGTCTATAGGCCGAGATGTGCACTCAATGGTTCAGGTAAAGCGTGGCTGACACTTATGATGGAAATTCATTCTGTATGTGTTTAGGTCCTAGGCCAAATAAATCATTCAGTATACAGTATGTAGTAGTAGATACTTCAGGGCTGACACTTAGGAAGAAATGTGGGCATAAAATTTACCTTCCAATACTTTTTAGCTCTCACTCACTGAATTACTTTGTAACATTCTATCCTACTCATGTCCTAATGGCTAATTGGTGCATCTTAAGTTATTGAACTCCATCAATAAGAAACAGTGAGGGAGGCCCTTGGGGGCTGGTGGGCTTGTCCTGAGAGCTTTCTGAGGAAGAGAAACTCTGGCCATTTGCCTCACACTGTGTGAGAAGTATGGTCCCATCTTTAAATGGCAAAGCAACAAACTTTGAAAGCTTGAAGCCAGCTAGAAAATGACCAGTGCTCACTCTCCACAGAGCTAGAGACAAAGGCCTCTCCATGTTCTGTCTGATCATCACTGTGCCCAGACTTACTGGTTCATAGCATCTATTCATTGTGCTACCAAAACGCATGAAAAGAAATTTAGACTTTTCTCCCTCTCTCTCACTTTTTACTTTCTCAAAAGATAAGAACTGAAATCTTATTAGTTCAAGGTCTCCTATGAATATTCTGGGAAAAGCAGGCAGACCTGTGAAAGGTTCTATAAACCTTTAAATTGCCATTAGCTAATCAGAACCATTGTTCAGTGATCATTATCTTTTATTAAATGACCACTGAATCAGAAGGTTCATACTGCTTTTCAATTAAAATGTAGAATAGCTAGAAATGCCTCAATAGCACACAGAGCGGCAGCAACATGACCCAGTGAAGCAGCCATTACCCAGAGGTAATTGACCACTTAAGAACTTAAGTTAACTTCTCGATGCTGCCAGTTATTTCTCCTGATGTCATTTCTAAAGGTTTTTCCTACAGAAAGAACACTCTTACAAACAATATCCCCTGTAATGGGGTATTCAAGATAAAAACTGCATGGGATTTAAAAAATCCCATTAAGGCTAACTGCTATTCTCCCCCCTGTCATTTGTTAGGGATCCACACAATATCACATGAGATGGAATGAGGAAAGGTGACACCAATATAAAGGCAACACGGACAGCACAGGGCAGGGCCAGTAAGCGTTTGTGTTTTGAGTGAATAAAAATGAATTTGCACGTGTGCTCAGACGCATGCAACTGTGTGACAAATCAAAGCACTTGATGGCGAAATGAAAATTTTAGTTCATCGGCTAACTCATATATAATAGGGATAATGTTTGGCTATTGCGTTGGCTCTCACAAACGGACAGAATTGGTCTTTTGAATTTTTCTGTTGTTGTTATTGTTCCCTGGAAAGCAGAAAGAGCCTAACTATACCAAGGGGAGATGCACTAGCTAACAAAGAGTTAAGTTTTCCGTAAGAAAGAGAAACACAGTTAAATACTACATCACAAATTACCATTTTTATGTTACCACCCCACCATGACTTTAGCACTAAGCCTGATCCATCTTCACACTCTCATTAGGATATAATGCATATTCATGGTCCTGATTATATAGCCACTTTCTTGACTTGTTTTAATTGTGCATAAAGACACTGTGACAGGAGACCTGACCTTTTCAAGATCATTTTCTCTCCATTGCTTTTCACAAAGCTATTAACTTGTCTCCTTCCCAAAGATTGCAATAATTTATTTCCCATTAATAAAAAATTCCTGGTGCCATGCAAATTAAAATTTATTCAGCAAATAGAATTCTTTGGATTATTTTCTAATGGCTTTAAATACTTCCAGCTTAGGAAGAAAAATAATATTAATGGGTGCAGGCTGAGTGGATAATTGCATACATTGGAGAAAAAATGAATATACAACCAATGCCGTAGCTTATCTCACATCAATTACCCAGAAGACGTACTTTACTTCTTTTTTCAAAAAATATATTAAATAATTTATTTCAGGGGGTATTATTAGGACCTTGAAATTATCCCTATTATATGAAAAACTCCGCTTATGTGTATAAACAACACATGTTGGTAAGAAGACCACATTGAGTTAAGGAAATATGTGTAGGTGTAAATGAAATTATTTAAGGGGGTCACTTAGCTAAAGTGGTGGCTAGATTGCTGTATAACATAAGGGCAGAAGTGACATATGGGAATTGTATTTCTTTCTTACTACACAGTGACTATCTTTATTTTTGCAATCAAGAGTACTCCAGGAGAGACCTGAACTTCTAGAAGATGCTCATTTATGACCATATTTTCCTTGACAGAGAGAGGTTTCATCATTAGGCTATGCACACTTCCTCCTTTCCTTGTATTTGATGTTAACATGATAAAACCGAGGCACTAAAATGTTTATATACAAATGTTTCAGACCTAATATGCCATGGCTAGCATGCAATTACTGTCAAGGTATTTAATATGTATTAAAACACCCTTGCCACCTGCATGAAGGATGACATTTCGACTTTGAGCCGTCATAACCATAACTCCTGCTTTTTGACATACTAAATACACTGGACAAGAGGAACTGGAAAGCCAGAGAGAGCTGTTCCAATTCCGATCAAGCTCTTTGAGTGTTTGCTTCATAGGAAATTAGAGAAGGAAGGGTACATGGGTAGTTAAGTTAATCTACCCTGTGGGAAAGTTTTTCTTCTAAGTGGGTCCTTTATTATTGATACAATATAATTTTAAAGACTTGCTTCTGTCCATCTTTCCCAAAGGAAAAAGGAAACCAGAGTAAGAGCTGCTACTTGAGTCCTCCAGAATTTACAGTGAGATTTCACCCACATTTTATTAGATCCACACGACCAGCCTTTAAGACAGGTACAGCATTTGTTAACCCCCCATTTTACAGATAAGGTACTGAAGGCCCATAACATGCAATTTCATGTTCAGAGTTTTAAGCTAATAAACTCAAGAGTCAAGACAACACCAAATTAAGTGATCCTTCTTAAGTGCTGAACAAGTTAGCTCCAATCAGCTAGATGACCAGCCTTTGTGACAAGGGGGTGATACTGGCCTCCAGGGAACAGTCAACAACTCCCACCAGCAGTTTGGGATCTCCTGACTTGGGCATTGGGGTGACTGGGTGCTGCTGGTATCTAGTAGGTGGAGGACAAGGGTTCTGAAAGGCATTCGATAATGCACAGGGCAGCCTTACACAACCCAGAACTTTGATCCAAGACATTATTAATATCATTGTTGAATACCAAAGAAGTAAACAAAAAGAACTTTCTAAATAAAATGTTTTATAAAGAATTGTAATTTTCACCTGACTGAAAAGTAATGATCATGATTATGAAAAAAGAAAAGGAGCGGGAGGAGGGAGGACAGGGGAATCCGGGGCTGATGTGTAAAATTAAATCAAATTATAAAATAAAAAAAGTATACTTAAAAATGCTATCACCAAAGTGACTACAAAAGAAGAAAAAAAAAGAAAAAAGTGAAAAAGATCAAAGTCAATAAAGGCAGAAAATAAAAGCAAAAAAAAATCTGAAAAAAAGTGAAAAAGATCAAAGACAATAAAGCAGAGACAAAATAAAATCAAAAATAGTCCCCCCCCCAAAGTGAATTGTAGCTCAGAAAATAAAAATAAAAGAATAAGAGGAAAAGGTTTTGAT